TCATTTTGGACCCAACAACATATACAATGTTGACGAATCTGCCCTCTCAACAGTCCAGAAACCTTCCAAGATATTTGCTACTAAAGGCAGAAAACAGGTGGGATGCATAACCAGCGCCGAACGTGGTACTCATACAACAGTAGTATGTTGTATGAATGCAGCAGGATCTTTCGTCCCCAGCCGCATTAATTTTTGCCAGAAAGAAACGTAAGACAGAACTCGTGGATGATGAACCTGTAGGAACATTACTTCTGTGTCAGAGTCGGGGTGGATGACCGGCGAACTATTCTTACTTTGGCTGAAGCACTTTGCAAAATACTCTCGTGCGTCATTGGAAAATCAGGTTTTGTTGATTTTAGATGGCCACAGAAGCCACAAATATTATCCAGCCCTACAATATGCTAAAGGTAATGGCATGGTTTTAATGTGTTTGCCTCCCCATTGCACCCATCGAATTCAGCCATTAGATGTTACATTTTTTGGCCCTTTAGATACTTATTACAACCAGGAAGTTGACAGATGGTTAAAAGCAAATCCTAGTCATGTAGTAGGCCTATTTCAGATATGAAAGATTTTTTCTGTAGCTTATGGAAAGGCAGCAACAACTACAATATCGTGTTCTGGCTTTGCCAAAACTGGAATATTTCCATTCAACTAGGATATTTTCCCAGACTATCTGTTTATGCCCAGCTCGGTTACTGACCATCCTCACGTAACGGCAGATACAGATCAATGTGCAGGTCCGTCTATCCAAAAAAGCCCAATCATTACAACCACAAAGTCCATGCATGAATCAAAAAAAGCAATCAAGTTGCATGTTCATCTAACCAAAAAAGCCCAAACAAATGTGATGAGGGCCAGAGAATAGCAATTTCACTGTCAGAGCTTTTTCCACCTCCAAAACAAAAAACATCCACAGAAGCGAAAAGAAAGAGAAGAACGCAGGAGTCTGCAAGCCAACGAGCACTCCACAAATGGAAGAAATTGAAGCGAGGTACGAAAATAAAATTGAGTCAGAAAGAAGAAAATCAGAAAGAAAAAGGGTTACGCCAAAAATTGTTCGAAGTGAAGAAGAAGGCGTGTTTTACCAGAAATGGAAGAAGATGATGAAGATGATGCTTCATGTATATATTGCAATGAGTTGTATAGTTTTTCAGATTTTGTATTTACTTAAAAGTGATTTTTTTGAATAAACAGGATATTTTTCCAAATAGGTATTTTTATGTAGCAATAAAAACCGCTACCCCATATTAAACATTCCATTACAATAGATGCTAAAATTATCTGTATTTATTTAATTTTTTTGTTGGCCTTTTTGCTTGAAAGAGTTTGGGTATGTCATTTTAGGACAGTCTCCCCTATCAAAATTAGCTTCGTTGGAACTACGCAGTCTTTCGTTAGATTCACCTGCTCCTCTAATGATAATTTCCAAACCGTATCTGTCAACGCGTACGTTGACAGAAGGTAGAATCGTATCCAGCCTGGCGCACCTACTCCTATCAGCTAGGGGAAAATTCTACTAAAAACCTAGCTGTTCGTCTCCTCTTTTTCATATTTTCCCACATATCATGAAAAATATTAGTAATATGCTAGCCTTCGGAAGTCTTAGATATCCCATGATACGCCTCTGACGCTTGACCGTTCAGCGAATGGGGTAGCTTCTAACATCTGCTAACCAAATGGTTGAGTTTCAAGTTTCTCAGCACTTCTTTGCTTGTAAACTTTATAGTTATAGCAACCAAATGTTATTACAGAATAGATCTAGAAACCATGTTTTTGTCCCGGCATATTTGAAAAGTCCAACTTTATAGCATCCGGTTCTATTATCTATTTTCTTCGAAATATGAATTTGGTTTCCCTTGGCGTTCACTGGGTGGTTTGCTGATGCAATGGTTTGTTCTGCCCTTAGTTTTTATGTTTATTTCTATTTTATGGATGCGAAGAATTTTTACAGGGGTAGGCGGCATGACGAATTATTTCAACGGAATTAGATATTGATAACTTGGTCGGCTACATTTTTTCGGTCATTTCGAATTACCTTATCAAATTTAGAACTAGCATAGGGGCACTGCACTTGGTTGGATAAAACGGCGATAAAAACTTACTCTAATCTTAAAAATCTTAATTTTTATCACAATAAATGACTTCAAATGGTATATGTTTTACGTTTCAAGTTCGTGAGTAGTGGCGCGAAACGTTTTCATTACGTCTCTCTGTCTTCCTGTTTTTTGCGTTTGTTCGTTTCTCTGTTTATTTTCACTTGACACTGAATAGTCTCTACCCATTATACACAAAACCCGTATTATAAACTGAATTAGTGAATATAGTCAATAATCAAAATCTCTGGATATACAACACACATAGTAAACTAATGGCTGATACCATAACGAAGCGCCCAAGCGGTACGGCCGATGCAACGCCGCCTTTCGATATGGACTGATGCCGTTTTTCCATACACGCACAGGGACTCATGCCATTCTTCCCCGGCACAGGGAGTCTTATAGCTGATGTTTCGGGACGTAAGCCGTTTTTACAATTTAATAATCTGATTACAAGGTAGTATCAGGAAAATGCCACCAAAGTAAACAAAAAGCTCATTTTAGGCAAATTATGGACTAATGCCCTTTTTCCCCTGTACCCTTCATTTATATTGTTATCCCGCCATAACTGTGTGCTCAATTGGTAGCTATGAGCCCCCTTAGAATGAGGTCCTTTGAACTTTGGTTTTTGGATGCAATACTTATTTGGGCGCCACCTAATTCCCAAAAACTGAGAAATGAAATTAATAACAAGTATCACTGTTGGAATTCTGGCGTTAAAAGATACATCAACCTACAAGGTACACGGACACTTATTGAACAAACAAAAAGAAATAAAAAAAAATAAGGAGAAGTCCTGGAGGACAGGCTAACAAGAATGAATATATGTATTACGCCCTAGCTACATGGTTATAAAAAAACCAAAATCAAAAAAAACTTGGCTATCACCGAACGGCTACTGTTGGTAAGTCCCAGATGTTACCCTAAACCCGGAGGGTAAAACGGGAGGGTAGAACTCTATTAATGATGGTTCTCCAAAAATGGGAGAACTGCTCCTTCCAGGCGTGAGTCCCACTCAAACTCGCCTTGGACCCTAACCCTGTAGGCGGTCCCCCTCCGCACGATGGTTGAGTGTAATTATCTGCACGGGTAAATCCCCAAAAGGGTAAGAAAAAGGCTCCGACACTAAGAACCACCAAGGGGCCGATTTCTAACAAAACTACCCCACAATCCTTTGAAACCGAAACTCAGCGTTTGAACTCTTCACAGGATCGGGCAGTGGGTCGCAGACAAATTTCTCCACCAGAGCACCGGAAATAGCACCAAGCTCTCGTGTTTACGGTCGACCTCCAACGAGATGGAGAGTAAAGTACGATTTTTCTACCACAAAATTACCAGACTGGGAGAAGTGTTTCGTTATAAGAATGAAATTCGATGTTTTTAAGAACGGCTGTGAAATTATTATTCTAAATAAGAACAACGTTGTAATAATTTACTTCATCCAGATGTAGTTCATTTTTAGTCGACCATAAAAAGAAACTGTAACAATACGTACTGTTTAGTCTGTCCTATACACGATGTCCCATAAGTCGACATCAAGCCGCAAACAGGTGATAGGCAAAGTTATCAGACAAATATAAAAAAGTCTAGCTAATTCGTCTACTTTTCAAAGTAGAAAAAATCGGAAAACCTAGACTCTGTGATGATTACTAGAAAGTTAAATTTTTTCTTAGACAGAGTAACGGATAATGCCATTCTACGTAGTAACAGCAAGACAGATAGTAACCCCAGTTTTATTCGTGAACGTATTTATTAAATTCACAATAAATGTTCAAACTGCCTTCGTTCAGCAGCAATGCAAGCTTGACGTCTTCTTAAAAATGATCGGGTTATCAGACGGCCGAATCTTCCATTATTTAACAATTTCAGCTGCTTCCGTTATTTTTTTTTTTGTATATCTCAGCTAAATTTTTGATCGGCTTTGAGTAAACTTTTTATTTCACCGCTTGCCAGTTAAAAAATCGAGTGAACGGGCTGACCACGAAATTGTACCAGATATTCTCTAACTGAACGGGCATAGTAGTCTAACTAAATTTCGCCAGTCAAAAACTCTGACAGCTTAAAGGGTACAATGGCTCTCCCATATAGATTCCCGGTCCACATGTTTACTTTAAAACGTTACTATGATTTATCTTGTCTCGTCAAATGTGGATTTTCTCGTCACTCGTGTAAGTTGTGTAGATTTATGTAACCATATTTTTTAAATGTCGACCATAAAACTTTTTCTAAAAATCGCGGATCTTCCCGGTGTCTTTGTAACATTGTTTGACAAAACTCAACTCGAGGTTGTAGAGATTGTACTCGCTGTACATGGTACGGGTGGAGCTCGTTATTTCGCACGATTCGATGGGGTGTACTGTTGGGCACTCCCGTGCTTGCTTGTGTTTGACGTAAAGTAAAAGTAAAGTAAAGTAAAGTAAAGTTTATTTACCAAAAATAATGATAATATTGTAAACTGAATATAAAAGCGTAGTTTAGTATGGTAAACAAACAGGAAACCCACAGAAGCAAGCTTGTGCCTGGGATTGTACAAATTATAAAAACATTAATCATGGCATGGACATTTTTTAAAATTTCCAGTCCATTGCTAATATTAGTAAAATAAAAGTCACTCAAGTATTACACTATAAAATAGTTCACACACTTAAAAACAATTCGATTAAAATCGGTTTACAATACTGGTCATAAATCCCTGGTAGAATTACTTTTGAAGGTATATCACATGGTTCAGCACTTGATTTATGTTGGGTTTTTGACTTGAAGGCTTCAAGGATCTTATCACATTCCGTCGTTTCTTTCAATAAATCTATATTAAATTCGAATTCGTTTACTTTTAACAGGTTTTTCTCAATCTTTGCGTTTGGGTTTAGGCTATTTGTCAGCTGCAAGTGGGAAAACTTTTCAATTTCCATAATCTGATGAATTGTAGTCATTAGCTATATACAGACCACTTCCTTTTAACTTTTTCACGTTTGCAAATATATCGAGTTTCAGTTGATAGGATATTATTTCAATCAGAAATGGTCCAACCCGTTCTTCAACTGCTGTACCAACTCTATAGAAATCTCTTAAGTCCCGATCAGTGCATGGAACATTCAGGGTTTGATTAAACACCTGCAATGCGTGTTTGATGTCATTCCGTCTGTTACTCCCTTTTAGACCATAAATAATGATATTGAATTTCCGGAGCCTCCGGAAAACAACTTCAAGTTTATTTCTTCTTAGTTCTTTGTTTTCATCTCTAAGGTCTTTATTCTCCGGTTTCAATTTTGAAAGTTCTACATTAAAATCTTTTCGCAGCTCATGAATTTCTTGGGTTATGGCCATTTTGTTATCGATAATTTCTGGTTTTATTTCGATATTTTTGTCTAATACATTTTTCAGTAGCTCGTGGACCTGCTGGTTTGTTACTTCACCCTCTGGGCTACTCATTGCAAACAAAAATGGTACAAAAATTGCTATTTCACAGAAACACTGCTAACCGACCGCACTAATTCTCACTGGGATCAACACATACGAGTACTGTTTACGTTTTGGCTAGAAAATCCAGTCAGGTGAGGTTTTTGTTCAGAATATCCCGAGCCCTTCCAGTTTTACCATTAATGTTTCACACATTGAATTATCACACACTTATACAAAATTTATACAGAATTCTACAATTGTTCTTCACTTTTATACCGACTTAGTTACTAAATTTCTTAGGAGCTCGCTTTAACATACACACCGTTCAAGAGAAATTCAATGTACTGAAGTACTCGGGTTTGCTTGTAGTACGACGTCCTCGTAAGGAAATGAAATTATTCCTTCACCATGTGCTTGATTTGGGGATCGTCCCTCTAAAAGTAAGCGGTGCACATTCACAAAATCTCTGTGATCGGAATGACAAGCATCATTTGGGAACCTGTACACAGACATGGTGGCACTACACAATCATGACTTAATAAAAGTGGCTTCACTATCTGTATTACTGACATTACGTAGAATGGCACTGTCCGTCACTCCGTCTAAGAAAAAAATATTTGTAGTGATGGGAATTGAAAGATCGTCACAGGGTGCCAAATGCTGGATTTTATTGAGTTTGGCCTTAGTCGTTCCAGTTCCAATGCAAGGCCACCAGACCAGGGAGCCGTACAAGAGAGATGGACGTACTATCGTCATGTAGAGCCAGTGTACGACTTTGGGTTCCAGCTGTGACTTCTGGGATACCCTGTATATGAACATGAGCAATCCTTATATGCTATTCTGTGGAGTAGGGAGATCTGGAAAGATGTTTTAAGTGATTGCAACCGGTTTATGTGTTACATAAACTTTGTGTTTCGAAAATGCATTGCCATAATTTTCAGATTGACCTGAAACATAAGTCTCTGACAAAAACTTTTTACTTCTTTTTATGTTCGTCAGTGTACTGTTTTTATTATAAATTTGGTACACTCTCCTCTTCATGTTTGCATCAGCAAAAATTCGGGGGTAGTTATTCTGGGAAAGAATCTCTCTCACTTTCTTTAGGTTGCTATTAATTTGTTATTAATGACACTCCTCAAGTAGGTATTTGGAACATTGACATTATAATTGAAATATCTCTCGGACGACAAACATGCTTTTGGTGTACCAATCCATTATATTGTTTTACTCGATAGTTACATTGAGAAAGTTCATTTTTCTGTCCGTTTCAATTTATCTTGTGAACTGCATTAAGTCTATAAATATGCTGTCGATATAGTTTTAATCTATGCATAGTAGACAATCATCTACTTATGTGTTATAGAAAGTAGGTTTTACTGACAAACTTCTAAGAAAAGATTTTTCCAGTTCTTCCGTAACCATTGCAGCGTCAAGAATCTGGGAAAAGTAGTTCTTTAAACAAAAACCTACAGCAGTTTTGAAATCTTATAGAGGAAGCGAGGTGAAATTCGTTATCACAACGTTTTTCAATGCATTGTATAGTACAACCAACTGGAATATTAGTAAATAGAGTTACAACATCAAATTACTCAAGTAGATGATATTTGAGTACTAATTGAGTTTTCATAACGCTGTGGAAACTCCGTGAATCTTCAACATGGCAACTCGTTTTGTCAAAATGTTTGTTATAATGTTTGAAAGATATTTTTCCAGTTTAACTGATCCCAATAACCAATTGGTCTCAAAGGAGTATTCGGTTTGTGCAGTTTCGAACAAGTAATGAAAAAGGTGTTTTATCCATTATTAAAACCACATGCTCTTCTGTGTAATTCCACTGAAGCTCATCGTACATGAGTATTTCTGCATAGACATATCCCGTCAACCGGCAGGGGTATTATGTAAGAAACCCAAAAAACGCCAAAATGTCATTTTCAGACTGGGTAGTTTTTAGTATGCAAATAGTTTATTCCACGTTTGCTCGTTCAAGCATCCATTGTTGGTTGCAGAAAGCCAAGTAGTGTTTATCTCTGAGAAGATGTGAAAAAAGAAAGTTGTCTGAGTAGCAAGATCGCATCTGACTGATTATGTGTGTTGGTCTGCATGTGCATAAAATCAATGGTATTTTTATGTGAGATAATTATTACTGAATTTGCTGCCAATAAAGTATACCTATTAGCTGTGCCCCAGGGGTTATTTATATGCTGTTCTTTCTGAAGACCGGTTATGCTCAAGGTTATAAATTACGATTTTTCCCGTTTTTTTTTTGTTTTCAAGAACCTTGAGGAGAATTACGGGAAATGACCACCGCACCCGCGTTGTGTGTACTGTTAGCATGTACATATATGACTTGTAACTCCACAGGGTACAGTGAATATAGTTGCTTTGTATACGTCTCAAGTAAGTGTGATACAGGACATCAAGGAAATTATCATTAGCACAGATTATTAGCACAAAAATCCTCACTGTGCACATATGTACTGCACTTTCCTTCCAGCTATAGTATACAACTTACAGATTAGACCTCCAATAATGCCATCTCTGAAGCAGATGTTACATCGCTTCAGAGACAAATATTGGTAGCTGACGCATCCTAACGTTTAGGCAACACGTACAGCTACAAATCGAGTTCACAGCAAGTGTACAATAGCTAGTGCTAAGTTGACATCTTGTAGAAAAGCCTACGTTATATCACAAAAAAACTACTCAATGTCAAAAAAAACGACTAAATGTCACTTTTCAAGATACGTAATATCCGTTTGAAGAGAGAATTGTGTCTTTTCCAGCGAACTCTGAGCCTCATGAACAGAAGATTGTGTGCCACATCCATTTTCAGCACCACTGAAAAATTTAAGATGTACCACTGCGCTCGTGGTATTTTCTCATCGACAACTCACCAGCGCATCGCACTCAACAGTTTTTTGAAGAATTGTATCCAAATGTTGGATCATCCACCATACAGCCATGACTTGATTCCAGGCGATTTTTTGTTTGCTTGCGAAGTTACAGCTGAAAGTACACAGGTGTGAATCTGAAGACAAGCTAATTGCATGCTGGAAGTCGTTATGTAATTCTATCGAGAATGAGTCGTAGGAGTGTTGCTTTAATGGTGTATCTTATGTATGCTGCTAATGGAAATTATTTTGGAAAACAATAAATAATTATGTCATGCGATCGAAGTACGTGTCGTGGCCGACCAAAGGTCCAGTTTGAAAAGAGGAACGGGTATCGTCAAGACCGATTATCTGTCGAGAGAACGCAATAAAAAGCTTGTTCATTCGGAATAGAAACTCTGTTCAATCAGCCTGATTTCACTTGCAAATTCAACGGACGATTTGAATATCCTTTTTAGCTGGAATAGTCGAGCTCGAGCAGTCTGAGCCAGCATTCGTCAAGGTAGGCCTTGAGGTGGTGGAATACGGGTCCTTCTTTATCGGCTACGGACACACCCGTCCTCCAATTTATACCAGCGACAATTAAACTTGATTAAATTCTAATTTGCCACTGAAAAGTTATTCGGTTGAGACTCCCAATGGCTTCATCGGAAAATCTATATGTATGGGAGGCTGCGTATAAGGGACGTTTGCTACAACTGAATTGACCCTCACACCGTATTTGTGCTTAGAAGCCACCTTAAACGGTTGTCCGGTGAGAGATAATTATTTAAATACTAAACAGGGTGCTCTGATACTCGATGGCCAAATGAGAGGAGGTCAGAGTGGTTCTGCGCCGAGTGAGCGATTACTAACCCATACAGCACAATATTTTCCAGAAACATTCCAGAAATCTTACGTTATAATAATGGTAGTGTTTCAAGATCCTTACAAAATATTGGTGCAATATTTCTGAAAAGTATATATATATATATATATATACAGGGTGACTTTGAAGTTGAGTCATTAATTTTCAGATAATGATTGTAGAAGGAAGATAAACCAAAATATGTGTGTAAAAATAAAAAAAAAATAAAAAAAAAAATTTTACCTTGTTTTATAAAGTATCCTCCCGACAAGTATTTCAGTGCGGACCTGTATTTGATCGTGAGGTCTTGGAGCACCGGCATGCCGTCCATATGTGAGGTCTTAAGTCAAATGATTCACGAACCCGTTGTACTACATTAACAAAGGCACGAGGGGTTGGTTGCACTCGATTGGGAAACCGATCCGCATAAACATGTGCCATTTTTTATTTCGTTTGAGCCACGCAAGAGACACCACTATCCACTACCGACTGACACTGACTGTATACAACTGAATGAAATAATTGTAAAAACATCGTTCCAAATTCTTTCGCTTTTTTGTTTCCGATGCGATGAACCGATAAGGCGAATTATATCCGTTGTCGCCAAACACGAGCACATAATATTATTATTGAGACAGGGCGGTACTCAAACTTCCAAAGGGCTATAACTTTGTTTCTTTAATTTTACCAGAAAAATGCTAAAGGAAAAAAACATTTCTTTTGATCAGATCTACTCACTGTTAAAATAAATGACTCAACTTCGAAGTCACCCTGTATATATATGTACGTTTAGTAGTGGATCAACGGAAGTGAGTTGATAGAGGGCCTCAAAACTTATCGAATAAACTCCTATATGTGTGGTCCAAAATTTTAGTTCAGGAGATATTTGCAACTTTGTAAAATTTCGAAAAAGCGGGATAATGAACTTTCAGTCTCAATTAAAACTAAACCATTAGGTTTAGGACTGTAATTTTTTTTCTGAGATGAGCTAGATGGCTAGTTTCAGCAATGGTTATGTCACTTTTGAACAGACCTTATTAGAAATCAACGCAAAAATCTTAAATTCATCCATGTAGAATAAACCCTGAAAATTTCAGTTTGCTACGATGAGGGTATCATGTCACATTCTTTGTTGTGATGCGATAAACGTAGGAAACGCAATAGAATCCTTACCACAGAAAATATTGTGTTGAGCCGCTCTTTATGGCGATTTACCGACAAATGTGGAAGATAATTGAATCTAACTAACTTTCCAAGAACATGTTCGAAATGGCTCCATTATTTTTTATACACAAGCAACACCTTCTAATAAAATTGTCCTAGTCTTTGAAATGAATTTGCGTTTTCCATAATTGTTATTTTTGCTTCATTAATTTTCTGCCGCAGTTGGTTGACATTTGTATATTCAGATGTATAGATTATCCCCTTATAAAATTATAAAACCCCCATATAAAAAAATCTAGAGGATTTAAATCGGGTGACCTTGGAGACCATACCCAACTGGCAAAGTAGTGCTATAAGCTTTTGGTAAAAGAACCGTTCAGCCATAAAAGATCTCTATTGTTGTTGCCTGAACACCAAAATGCTGGCTTAATGTTGTGTGGAATGCAAATTTGCTTTCTGCAACATATTTGCTATAAAATGAGGTGTTTAAAATATTCTTATAGCATAGTTACACAACACCTTATAGGACAAATTTTTAACTGTTGCATAAACGTTTGTACAACTATTTTATACGGCATATTTGCAGGTTAGTCAAAATGGTTGTGTTGTGGCATCCATGGTAACGTTTATAAAACAAACCCGAGCCTTGTTGTTTTGCTGTGCAAATTTACTACTTTAGCCAACAAATTGCTCCCAATGGAAGCACTTATACAACTGTTGTTTAGTAACTGTTAAAGGCTGTACATATGCTAAATATGTTGGTATACAACTTCACCATAACCTAACTTTCTGCTGACATATTTTTGTTAAAATGCCATAACCAATGTTTTAAGACAAACAACACATGCATATTGGTTCAAAAGGTTTTATCAACTGTTCAAACAGAAGATATAGATCTGGTACAAATTCTGGGTAAATCATTCGACTCTGTCGGTATTTCATTTCAGGCTTTTGTCAAATTGCTGTATAACACCTGTAGGCAACACCAAAATATTCTAATAACCTAAAGACAACATGTACGATGCCATGATTATACACAACCACCCGCCATATTGGGCAAACATTTATTCCTCTATTTGATATTAAATAATTATGTTTCAGTTCGAAATTACAGATATAAAGTGATAAACATTAGTGTAGTTGTGTCTAAATATAGGATTTGTGCAAGATTTAACGCAGATAAGTTCAGTTTTCCACCTTAAACCTCTAGACATACTTTTGATCATTATCAAAATATGAATCAAATACGAAACCCGTAGAAATTGCGTAACTACTTTGTACGATAATCACAATAAAATTTGCTGTGCAGTTAATTTAATAGCCCTATATCACAGTGTAAAAATTTATCTTATACCTGTGTATGAAATTCACAATGGCCGATATGTAAGTAAACAAGATGACTGTAATGTGTTAGTTATATATTATTCACTTCATCTATACAATACATAAGAAATAGTTTGGTTGCAATAAAGTAGAATCACAACAGAATAGTTGTATAGTTGACAAAAACTGAATCTTGCACTGACGCAAATTTCCTATAGCGGCACTTTTGTTGTATAACTGTTACCTGCAGCCCTTATACAACCTCTTAAATGACTGAAGTGTCCTATTAGGTGTGCCCATTCCGCTTGTATAGCTGTTCTAAGAGGGTTTTGCCAATGTTCTTACAGTATACAATGCTGTGTAAGGAATACTGTATAATCATTCTTGCAACTCTAATAGGAGTGCTAATTGTTAGTTGGGTAGTATGCCGTACATCTCGTGCAAAGCGGCATGGAGCACCATCGCATTAAAATACATGCGGCTTCGGACGTCCAGGTACATCCTCTAGCAACTCATGCAGACTGCTTTGTAGAAAAGCAAGATATGACTGACCATTCAACCTGGCGGGCAATTATTGTTTTGTTGAGTATCCAGCCCATAAATTAACGCCGAACTGACGTTGAAAGCTGTGTCGGCGAATAGCGTATGGATTTTCCTCGCTCCATGAATAGAAATTGTCCATGTTGAATATTCCATTCCGGTTAAAGTTGGATTCATCTGTCCATAAGATGCTGTCGAAAGAAGTTTTATCCTCTTCGCACCTTCTCAACATATTTTCACAAAATTCAACCCATTGAGCATAGACGCTTGGAAGCAATTATTATACTTTTTGTACATGGTAAGGATGCATATTCTCCGAGCGTAGTATTCTTTCTGCTTCGGGCATTGGCTCTGGTGCTTATAGAGGGATCTCTCTCGGCTGCTTCTATTCTTGTATCTTCTATCTCTTCTGGGCGTATCCTCGGCGCTCCTAGCTGACGATGAGTGCTGCGGCCCTCCATATACGCATTATGGACGCATATAAAAACGCTGTAATCGAGATACCGCCAGTTGCGGTCTACCTATTCTAACCACATACTCCCGATACATGCGAGCAGCTGCTCGAGCATTTCCTAGGGCAGCACCATAATAGTAATGCATTTCTGCGTAATCTCGCGGAGAATATGACATGATTCTAGATGCAAAACGTTAGATACAAATTACGCGCTGGACCATTGCCTGACTAAGTAATTTCGGTCGGACCGAAGATTGAACGCTCCCGCACCTGGAATGCCGAGTTGAATGCCCAAGCTCATTAAGCTGATTTGGCTATTTGCGTAAATAATCCGATATTTTGATTTTACAAAATGTTAATACGCCCAGTATCACTCTCACTACTAGGACGAATCTAACAGTAGCTCATATGTCAAAATCCATCAAGCCGTTTGTACTGTAGCTCGTAAAGTAGAATTTCTTGTTTACACGTATACCCACCTGCGACAAACATACGGATTTTTTAAGGTGAGGCACTTATCGCAGCAAACTGAAATTTTTCGGGTTTATTCTACATTGATTGAAATAGTTTTAACAATAAAATGAATAATGAAATACAACCTCAATTCTTTTACAGCCCTCCAAAGTTGAGGGATGGAAGAGATTTTTCACAAAAAAATTAATTCAAGATTTTTTGCGTTGGCTTCTAATTAGCTCTGTTAAAAAGTGACATAACCATTGCTTAAACTAACCATTTAGCCCATCTCAAAAAACGCACACCCCTAAACCTAATGGTTTAGTTGTAATTGCAATTGAAAGTTCATTATCCCGTTTTTTCGATATTTCACAAAATTGCAAATATCTCATGAACTATAAAATTGCGGAACACATATATAGGGGTTCATTTGATGCCCTCTATCACCTGACTTCTGTTGATGTACTACTTATTTTACACCCTGTATGCAATATCCACTTTTGTAACGTATATTCGAATCTTTCACAAATATTACATTGAAATGTTACAAAGTAAAGTTCAGTGGTCCCAACTTTGTATGGTGCCAGGTACGAGTAATGATATTGCAATATTGAGTATTTGTTTAAATAAAACATCAGTATTTCCAACGAATCAATTAGATATATAAACCATATGTATAATACTTGAGTCGTCTATCCACCTATCCATCCGCCCAGCTCATCTGTGGAAGTTGAGTCATCTATCTATCAATCGGTCTCATCTGTGTCCTATCCCTACAAGTCTTAACATTAATGCGACTTATTCTGGAACTGAGAGGTAAGTATTCAAAATGAAATGTAGGAAAACAGTCATCATTAATGTTTCAGTTGCCCACGCGGGACAATCGCGCTGTTTCCAACAGTCAATTGATAAATTCGCTGAATGTATGCTTGAAGCCCGCTAAATAGGAAGTATTTCCTCTAAATAATGGACACACGAATTATTATTATTATTAATATGAGCTCTGGCTTTCGGTAACAGCTACAAATCCTTCCCACGACTACAAAGAAGGTAATGGGTGTCGTTGATAAACATGTATCACCGGCTATTCGGTGATTCGACAATTTATCTAAAACCGACCTTTTTGCGCTGAGGAGAGTTTCCCCGTTAAAAAATCCGAAAATGCCATTTCTTCGCCAAGCACAACTGACGTCCGCTAGACCTAGTGGAAAATTGGCAACATCGGACTTCTTTCACAACATGTTGAATTCTGATGACGCCAAATTTAAAGTCATCTGTTTTTATATATTTTGTCGTATGCGGGTGACTTCTTTTCTTCTCCAATATATTTTTCATGGATTGAAAAAACGGGATAACATAGTCATCAAAAATTTACCACCTACTAGAAATGATAGAATAGTCGACAAAACAGGTTTTGTTTATGTTTTCGTTGTAATTACACCCATTGATGTACATACGTGTATCTCTTACATTGATATTGCCATGGACGCAATGAACCAATATATTGAAAAGATATAAATATATAAATATATAGGTATATATATATATCTAAATATGAATTAGACCTCATGAAATGATTAAAACATATCAGTGATATTTCAGACACAATACGAATGAAATATTTCTTAGCCCTCATTTCAGTAACGTCACGCAAACATAAATTGCCAAATATTACAAAATAATATTTCTGAAAGATGTATGAAATACCAAATTTGAAAATTGGGAAAGATATGTAATAAACCAGAAATATCTCTGACACAATAAGAATGAAATATTTCTTAGCCCTCATTTCAGTAACGTCACGCAAACATAAATTGCCAAATATTACAAAATAATATTTCTGAAAGATGTATGAAATACCAAATTTGAAAATTGGGAAAGATATGTAATAAACCAGAAATATCTCTGAAAACTAATATGCTGTGTGGAAAGGGTGCCGACTGTGTCTCGATAACAACAAAAACATACAGCTATCGGTTAATTAAAAATATAACACAATTGATAAAGGGAGTTTGATAGAAATTGTCTTTAGTTTCTCAAAATAACCGCTAGGGGGCATAATTCTAATCTCAATGGATAAAGGGAAAGAAGATTAAAAGGAGCTTTTATTTAGGGGTTCGTGAAAACAACAATAAATAAAAAAAATTAATGAAAATATTCCATTTATACTAGCTTTTCTTTAAACAATAATGGAGCTGCTTAAGTTTTCAAATAAAAGCGAATTAGACTATTTACCCTCTTGCTGTCAAAATGTTTATTTGAAAACTTCAGACTAAGGAGCTTCGTCATCGTTTAAAGGTTTGTGAAGTATAAAACGGAATACTTCTAATCATTTTTTATTCTTTCTGTTAACGGCTTAATAAAAACCTGTTTTCAGAAATAGTTTTTCCTATGATTTATTTTTTACTTTTTAGTATCTATGCATGACTAGTTGAATGATTTCTACCTTTTTTATACATATTTTTTATTAATAGAAGTTAATAAAAATTCTTAATTTTTGTCATTTATCACGTAAATATGGGGGATGTACTTGTATCTAACGTATGTACAAAAATGAGCGATCCAAGTTGCACATACCTCTTACAATTTCTGCCCTCCAAAAATACCGAAATGCAGCTTTGTATTAGCGCGGAAGATGGTCTAAAACATGCGTGATTGAAGGTAAAGCCCGAGCGATGAATTATAGATAAAATGAGTCATTATAGGTGAGTACTAAATTTACATAATACCTCACTAACTTATTCATCAGACCATTGAACCAGAATACTTGTCAAGAAGAAACAAATGAGGCCACACCCGCTGAGTTTGCAAATTGGTTTAATTGGACCTACATAGTTTAATAGATCCAAGTAAACTGTTTTTAGAAATAGGAGCTTACTTAAAGTGAATTTTTTGTTACTTATCACATAATTAATTAATTTTTTAATTGGTAAATAAAACGAACCATCCATTGAAACAGAAGATGAGTTGTGGAACAGATGCAGTTTGTCACTAATAGCACTCCTCTTTCACAGAAACCGAAGATAATCATCCCTGTAAAGAAATTGAATATCGAGAAGATGACTTGTTTCCAATCAAATGAAACGTCAAGCATTGTATAAGAATAGGTTCGAAAAAGTTGATGGTCCAACTTTCTATTATTTCCAGTGAACAAAGGCAAACAAGCAACTTAAATTCTTAGAATATACTTAAAAACATCGATGAAATGAGTAAAAACATGCAAGGCTTGGTAGCGTCTATCTCATAGACCTTGGCCGTTATGTTATTTATTATTATGGGGATAATTATTAGATAAATAATTATAATAACAGAAATTGTTTCTACTCAATTTTTCCCCACAAATTACTATATAATTATCATTTATTATAAAATTCACTTCAGTCACCTTTTCATTATCTGATTTCATTACACAGACATGACTATGTTTGACTGTGGAACTGTGTGTTATTTTCATGACGGATATATTAACCATTTACTTTGATATGCTATATATTAATTAAGTGACACTTCCTAGAATGCCCTAAGTCTAAATAGATATCTATAAATAGGTCACTAATGAACCAGTTGTTGCTATGGTGGAATATTGATCAAACATTCAAGCGTCACTCAAAGAGTATTTTGGCAGTAGGTCCCACATTTTCAAAATGGATATCACCTTTGCATACCAGAAGAAAAGGAGTGAGTTTGGAAGACAATGCCTATTTTCGGATAGAGGGCCAGACTTAATTGACAACCTTCCCTCAAATAGGAAGCTAGCCAAGGATTGGATATTGAAGTAAGAGATTTATATCACAATGCCATACATTCGCTTTAGTCCACGATTGCACGGGGCATCCTCAGAACATTAGAACTACTAGATGTCTCTCATGTCGGGTTCATAAAGTCCTAACCTAACTTGACCTAACTGAACTTCTTAGCCTCATCATTTCCCATGTAGTATCAGATTAGGGTAGGTTAAGTAACTTTATAGATGCAATGTCATTCACCTAGTTATTCAACTATCCCGAGCATCCATCAATCTTATTATAGTTTCTCTGAAAAAAGTTTGGCAAGGTCGAGTCCTTTCATCATGCACTGTGGATCAGCCCAAAGGGCTGAGTTCGTTATCTCGATTTCATTTCTAAAGTTAAATATGGCCTAAAAATTCCATGTCGAACTTTACCACCCTCACAGTAGGAGTAGCTGACCCATGTATTTTCAAATACTAAGTACGACCTTGCTATGCATAGTCTGAGACATATTTTATTGCCTAATCGAAAAAGTTGTTGTTTTTTATTGTTTTCGACTATACTGCAAGAATTAACTTTTAAATAGTGGAATAGCCGAAATAGTGGAATAGCCGAAATGAAACAAACGAACTAGCTGCACATTTATGAAAAAATCCGAAAATATTCACTCTAAATACTCACAGATTCCGAATTCATTAGATATGAAGTAGGGGGCTGCAATACATCGTAAGATATTTTCACTGTTCATTCAACATTATTATGGTTTTGGAGTATACTGTAGAAAATAACATTTGAAAAATGTCGTCTAACAAATGAAACTTGTTACATCACGTTTGTAGCTTAACCAAAAGAACACTCACTTTTGGATATTATTTTCTTGTTTTTACATCGATTTAAATATACGAACTTGGTTAGGTTCCAACGAGAATAGTGAATGCATAAATTAGAAGGCTAATCAATTATTCGTTCTGAAAATTAAATGATTAGTTTCTACAATATGATTAAAAGCAATAATATTCCTGAGTAGACAATGAAAATACACCTCAAATGATATCATATCTTTTCCCAGGTTGTCTTATAAATGTGCGCATGTTTCCAGACCTAAGCTACGCAGTCGGTTATTTCCCCAACAAAGAAATTAATAATGATGGATCCTTCGAGTACTAAGAATTCCGGACTTAAACTTACTCCACTCTCGGAATGTCCGGGTGGAGGGTATACTCGGAGGAACAACATCGAAGATAAAATTTGTTTCACGAACATCTGCGGGATTAACAGCAACATTGATGCTGTTGATCATTACTTGCAATCAAATCGTCCCGCCATGCTTCTCTTGGCGTTGACAAAAATCTCAGAGTCTGCACCGATCAACCATCTTAGCTTCACAAATAACGAGGTGCACTCACATATGAGGAAGAACGGGCTAGATGTGGCTTTTGTCCACAGCAGTCATTCCTGCTCCAGAGACGTTTCTTTGGAATCAGACCGGAAGGACATTCTGTGGCTTCGCCTCAACTCCAAAACATCCCCCAAATTTATGTGCTGCCTTTATCGCTCTCACCCGGACCATAACTGGGACGACTTACTTGAATACCTCGCCATCAAGATCGACTTCCTGAACATGAATCACCCCGCTTCACAGGTAGTTCTCCTCGGTACATAATGAGCTTTGGCTGGGCGCTCGAACAAGACGGATGCAGCAGGTCGTGCAGTTGAAGCGTTTGCTCTTACTCAAGCCCCCCCCCCCCCCTCCGCGTCTTGTCACATGTCAGTAGCTGGCTACATCCCTTTCTGACCACGCATCCTGTCCCCTACAGCACTGCTGTCCTGTCTCCTCTGGGTAACTCAGACCACCGTGCTGAGGAGGTTAGGTTTCGGTCAAAACCCACTGTGGCAGTAGAAATTCCTTTACTTGGAGAGATGTTTGTTTCGCTGACGCTGATGCGTCGGCTATCTGTTCTTCGATAATCGAAATTATCCACATCGGGATGGAGGAATACACCCGTCATACAGTAAAAGTGCCTAAACCAGGATGATACGGCTGGTTCAACAAATCGTGTGACACTGCTCGCCTGCAGAAGATCAAGGCACACAGAACCTTCTTACAAAGCCCCACTGTAGAGAACAGACAAGCCGACATCGAGTCTAGAAACAAATTTAACGAAGCGGTTCGCAATGCCAAAGACCAGCACGATATAAAAGTTAGACACAGGGTAATGTCGCACCGTAATGGCAGTCGGCCTTTTTGGACGCTGACCAAGCTGATTGAAAGGAACTTCTCACTCAATAGCCTTCCACCACTCACGTGTTAGGATGGAACGATTGTAATAGACTCAAAGACAAAGGCGGAAGTGCTTTCTAAGATCTTTGCTGCCAACTCCTCCATGGACGTCCCCCAATGCCCAAGTTCCGTCGATTCAAGGGGTTCCCTATACTATAAGGGAAGTAACATTCACGCATGAGACTGTAAGATGGGTGCTCTTGTCGCTCGAAATCAACAAAGCCGTCCGGAACTGAGTCCTGCCATTGTATTGAAGAAGTGTGCAGCGAAGCTTGCTCCAGTTCTTTCACGTCTCTTCCAGATATCTTGTGAATCCAGCACCTTCCCAAACAACTGGAAAAGCAGCTTGGTTTGCGGCACCAGCGATCGACAGTGCACGTCCAAGCTTGCGTCACTTACCTATGGAGTAAACTCATGCAGTCTTATGGTGAGGCTCATGTCATTGCACTTGCTACCACGAAAGCGTTCGATCAGCTGCGGTACGCGGCCCTCTTATGCACACTCACCCTATGGCCTCCCAAAAAAGCTCTGCAGATGGGTGGCTGACTTTCTATATGGCCACAAGATATCCGTCGTAATTGACCCACAACGTCAACGCAGAAATTCAGAGTGGCAAGCCAATCTGTGCCGCTGAGCTGGAAAAAAGAAGACTAGCGACGACTTCCTCTCTGACGAGAGCCCTGGAGGTTATCACTGCTTGGGGACGCAACAATTTTGTACAGTTTAATGCTTCCAAATCAGATTACTGTACCTTGACGAACAAAAAATGTCCTAGCGCTGCCAAAGAGCCGTTCACCTCGGCTGATAGGAGCCTAGATCTCCAAGGACTTGATCTGGCATGAACACATCTCGCCAATAGCAGCAGCTGCTGGGAAAAAGCTAGGTTATTTATTTAGAGCTAATAAATACTTTTCTCCGCATAATCTTCTCACTCTATACTAGGCTCGAGTATTGCTCACATGTTCTGGGGTGCTGCTGCCCCGACTACATTATTTATGCTCCATGCTGTCCAGAGGAGGGCTGTCCGACTGATCGACGACTCTAACAGACAGTCTCGGAACCCTTATGCACTGGTGGGCCATTGGCGATCTAGCTCTCTTCTACACCAAAGGGTTTTACTCCTCAGAGCTCTTTTCCGTGATGCTGCCGCACGATGTGCCGTGCCTGCCAGACAGACGCGCCTGACTTTGGATATTTCATATATATATATATATATATATATATATATATATTTCATATATATATATATATATATTTCGCTTTATTTGAAGAATAATCGTCTATGAGTCTCATCAGTAGCGTATAATTTTCAATCTTGATAATGAGACATTTTAGGACCTATGCTTATATGTTTATTCAGGGTGGACAACTAAGAATGCGAGGTACCGTACGGCGGTGTTACTTTACCATTCCAGGTTACTTTGAAAAGAGTTGCATTTTCCGATAAAAAAATTCGCGCGAGTTATGTGTCCATACCGGACATGCATGTCGTGTAACAGCACAATGAACGGAGCTTCACCTTTGTAGATTTTGCAAAATAGACATTTTTCATTTTTATTGTTATCTTTTGAATTCAGTTAGTTCAGTCTTGTACTCATGCTTGTAACAATCACTTGTCTCCAAAATAAAACTTTTTAAAAAGTAATTTTCCGGTTTCGGGAATTTAACTGGCGCTGCGAACAGGATTAACTGCACGGTATCCCCGATGATCATCAGCTCGTGTCAACGACTTGGCAGTTCACGACAGGAGACCAAAGTGTACCACAGACTTGAGGAGAATAGCAGACCAACTGGATATGAAAAGCATCTTGGTTCGTCTTATCCTGTAAGTCCTTTTCCATATTCTACCTATGAGTTCTGAGTATCCACAAGATTCATTGCAAGCAGTTATTTTAAGTAATAGTCGAAAAAATTCAAAAGAACAGTCTCGTTTCAAACCGTACACTTCCAAACCTTGAAAATCTCTTCACTGAACAATCAAGTAGCTCTACTCCAACCCTAGAAACCATTACTGAGACTCCAATGATAGAAAATATTACTGAGACTCCAATCATGGTACTATCTAATTCAGATATTAATAACTTGTGCAATACTTTGCCAGAATACAATGCTGGTGAAAATCTTTCAACTTTTGTAAATTCGGTAGACAATTTAGTTAATTTCTTTTCACAACAAGGTGCGGACGCTATTCAAAAATATATCATTAATGCTAATATACTGTCTAAAGGTTACGGGCGAGGCTCGTGATTTTTTGAACCTCCATAATAAAACAACCTGGGCTGAAATTAAGCCGTTGTTACTCCAAAAGTATGGCGACCATTGCACCGAAGAAATTTTATTGACAAAACTTACTACTACTGTTCAGAAACGTTCTGAGTCGTATCAAGACTATCATCACCGCATTACTTTAGCTCTTAATGATATTTTACAGCATGTTTCTCTACACGAAAATAATCCAGAAGCAGTTCAGTTCAAAGCTACATTCTTTAGAAATCAAGCACTAAGAACTTTCTGTACTGATATAAATAATCCATACTATGATCATCTCTCTCATTAAGATTTATCTTCGCTAGATGAAGCTCTCCAAAAATGTATTGCTTTAGATAACCATAAGCAACAACAGCAATACATGTCTTATTTGAAATCTTCTACTTATCCTAGTAAATATCAAAGGACCCCTTCACGTCCCAACCAATCTCGAAACGTACAAGCATCTTCTCTGAATCCTCCTAGAAATTCACAAAACCATTTTCAATAGTATCGTTC